GAGTAAACGCGAGTGTTTACAACTTACGCATGTATTAAACGCGATGTAACTCTACTCTAGTAGTATTTGATTTGTTTTTCGTAACACTAATATTTTTATTTGTAATTTAATAGCTGGCTTCCATTAAATCGTTACTTGTACGCCGCTCCTAATCAAAAACGATTAATTAATGTTTGAGTATAATGTTTGGTGCTCCGACCTATATTATTGGACAATAATACCAGTATAGTTTCTCTTAGGGATCTTCAAAGAATTAAAAAAATATTTTTTTTGAAGTATCCCGAGACAAGATAGCCCATTTCCCTATGAAAATGTTAGATCTCGCTGTAACGGGCCGATTCTATGCAACAATAATGATAATAAACTGCAGAGCAAAATCTATGGGTGTCAACGAAAGAATTGGGTATAATCGAAGCCCATTTGCACGTCCATTCTCGTGAAATTCCTTTTTTCCTAGATCGATTTGCAAGCTTGAAATTTGAACTGGTACTTTAGGTACAAGAAAGCAAAGTTGATCTCTAATTTGTTGTTTAGGATTGGTGTATCCACGGTTCTGCTCTCGGCACTACATCCCTGACTTCAAGCTTGCTATTGATCGTTTTTTGTATTCATGCTGAAGGCAAAGCCATGATAGATTTGCTAGATAAGAACTTAGGCCTAGCATTGATAGATGTCGAGTCATCAGGATCAATTAGATAGATTTGGGACTACTTCGTCTAGCTCAATATGGTATGGATTAGCTTACATAGGGGTAAATGAAGAAGAGAGAAAGTTTGGCAGATTGCTTTAGGGCCGGCCAGGGTTTAAGTTTGGGTGGCTCAATGCAATGTCAAGGCTTCAACAAATAGTCTTTTTGGAAACATTGCACTGCTAGATAATCCGGTTTAAATTGACTCGGATTCAGCTAAGCCAGATTTTTATTTCCAGAAGGATCGGTCCTAGTTGATGTATCTGTTGATTTATATATCTTGTCCTTATTATACTGTTGAAAAATTCCAAATTTCAGCATTTAATTAACTAAATCAAATCATCTTTTGTTATAGAGAGTTACATTTTGAAACAAAATACTTCCAAATAATACATAGTTTTAGATTGTTGTATGATTTTGAATTTGGAGACATAAAAGAAGGGCGCCCATAGACTTCAATAGATAGTTGAATAATGAGAAATTAATGATAGCTGTCAGAGAATTGCAGCAATCCCCCAGGAACATACTTCAGCAAAAGAATCATCTTATCTATTTATGACCTATATGCATAAGGGCTTATTTGTCAAATAACCATAAAATAAAGAAAAATTAGATTTGTAGACAGAGAGTAGAGAGAGATAGGAAGAGGCAATAGGAGAGAGAAGGAAATTTTGGTTAGATTGTTAATTTTGTTTTTTTTCTTAGCTACTGGGTCCAATTTCCCTATGCATAAATACCCTTTTTTGTGTGTTTCTAGTAAAACTCTACTATAGTTTTGCTCGTTATTTTCAACATATGCACCGATTCTTGAGAAGAAAATTATTTACTTCCTTTTGTGAGATTAAAAGTCAAAATCGAATATCTTCCAACACCAAATACTTTTATTTTCTCACAGAGATAGTTGTTTTGTTTATTTTACTTGTGGTTTCTATACTATGCAAGACATATAAATGGAAAATATAAAATTTACCAAATATTATAAAACTTTATTTCTTATTGAGTATACACTAGTTAGTTACTTATCTTGTGCTAGTAGTTCACATCTCTTTAACTTTAGATGAATTTATAGGTACAGGTATTTTGTAAAAGTTATATAGTTATGATACACAGAACACTTTTACTTTTGATTAGGATACCATCATATCATGACCACTAAATGGATCCCCCCTCATTATTGTTCCAACTAATTATCTACATTTGATGATTTCTAGGAGAATATCCCCCATATAAATTTATACTACACTAGGGGGTGGCCGGCGCTACGCGCCGGTATTAATGTTTGACCCAAGAAATTAAAAATAAATGTAATATTGTTTGTTTGATTTGTACAAATATAGTTTAGTTTGTATAATAATGAACTGTTGGTTGTTTTGAAAGCATAGGTCGCTAACGAAATCCCTTTTTATTTTTAGAAGGAAGTTTTCATAGATGTAGTTATTACTACGAATTCATGCTGAATTTTTTTTTTATTAATACTATAATATTTCGTGATTGGGTTATGTATGACATCTGATATTTGAAGTAATAGGTATTTTTTTTTAAAAAAAATGTAGATAATATAATGCAAATGATAAGTTACTCGTGCAAACTTTTCTTATACTGAATCCCGATAATGAGAAAATTAAAGTAACATAGAAGTTGAGTGTGTAGACGATAAGAACAGAAAGCGTATACAGTTGCTCTTCATTCCATGAGGTCGTTGAAACTCATAATCATCTTGTAAAAGTGGATTAGCAAAGAGAAGTGGAAACACTTTGAACAGACCGTTGTTTCTCCTCCTGCTTCAAGATGACAATTTAGATCTGACCACATCTTTAGGATTGAGTTGATGCAGACATCTTTCATGTGAAGAAGTTGTGGTTGGACGAACCGCTGGAATTCTGTCCTGCAATCTTCGACCACTGAAACACCTTTATCTTTGGTGAGGGCGTTGATGATGGTGATGCCTTTCGCAGTCTGGACTATGGCTAGGAGCAGAACACCGTGGACGTATCTTCCTTGGAGATGATCATGATCTGCGGCTATTTTGATGTGTTGAAGTCCCAGAGTCTTATTTTGGGATTCAAAGAATTGTAGAAATCCTTTAACAAAGTGGGCGTCCGTGTTGTCGGCTTTGACGCAGGTTTCCAACAAAGCTGTGTGTTGGTTAGCTAGAGCTAGTTTCTTTACAAAACTTGATAGATTGAGAGACTTGGCAACGTAGTTGTTCTTGTAACTGAAGCTAAGGCATTTGCAGGAGATGATTGTGTTGAAGTAATCTTCTGGTGATTTTTTCCCAACTTTTGACACAATCAGAAGACGTAGGTTTTTTGTTTAAATTTAATTTTGATTATATATTTAATGTGTTTATTTTATTTATAATATTATAAAATATAAATAGCTAAGCAATTATAAAATCATTTTAAATTATTCTTTGTTTTTGTTTATGCATTTCAAAAATTTTACTATCATTTTTATTGATATATATAAGATGATAAGTAGAATAAACGAAAATTATTAATTTATAGTTATGGTGTTTAATTGGTTGAACTGTATAAATGTTCCAACTTTCATTTCACCTAAAACTTTTAATAAATTTTGTTTCAAGGTAGTTTAATGACCCTCCCTTTAAATCTATAGCCTTACATTTTTATGTTTTACTGTTTTTTAAAGAAAAAAAAATTAGCGGTTTTAAAAAAATTATTTTAGATAAGAAAGCTTCAACTAATCGGATCCATTATCTAAATATTCGTTATCTTAATTATATAAATTTTGATGTAAAATATTATAAAATGTATAACCAATTAAATTGATTCACCAAATAATAGTGACAAAATGATTTGGAGATATAATTGTAGATCTTTGTAACGTTATGTCTAATTTGGTGGAGTGTGAAAGTCGAGTTAAATTATTTGTTGCAAGTCAAAGTTTTGTACTTGATGATTTATAATTTATAACTAATGATTGTTGCTACTACTTTAAAAAAATGATGGATACATGAAAAGTGGGTAAATAATGTTTTTATTAGTGTGTTTTGTCATTCAGTTTCTTCTTTTCGCAAGGTTGAGTTCTTACATAGTTTTTTTTTTCTTTTCAAAGATAATATCTTTTAAGTAATTTTCTTTTGTTTGGTGTGTCTCTAGGCTCATCATACAGAATGATTTTTTTTTTAGGTAAATTGTTTTATAATAATTAATTGAACTATTTTGTAATCGTAGCTTTATCTTAAGTATAACTAACTCATAAAAAGTAGTTGTGTGTATGAATGAATTTGATGTACATTTTCATAATGAACTGTGATTAATGTAATTACCATTATTTATATTTATATTAATGCGGAACTATCGTTGGAAAATAAGTGTTTACTTAAAAACATGACAAACCTTCATTTTATTGTTTTTGTAATGAATATACTTTTTGTTATATTAGCTGATTTATTATTTGCATGTTAGTCAGTACGTAGATTTGTTATCTCTGGAGCTTTATATGGATTAACACTCTTCTTCTATTTATAAGGTGAACACTATTTTTTTACCAAACTTACTAATTGTATATTTTGAATTTGTTAAAAAAAAAGTAAATCTTATTTTCTTTTTCCCTACTAATTGTATAATTTGAATTTGTAAAAAAATTTATCTTATTTTCTTTTATCTGGATTTTTTTTTTATATCTGAAACATTGATTTAGTTTAATAGAAACAAAAAAAATTATACCTAAGCCTCCTATTAATAAAAATATAGAATTTAGCGACATTTTCAAGCATCAGGAAACTGAAAAGAAAAGGACACTGATTTTCATCAAATACTTTCACCAAAGAAATCATATTATCTAACTTACTCAGCGTTCTCCTTCAGTCAGCTTCTCCCTATATATGGGTTCCAAGTCAATGGCTATTTAAAATTAAACAGATGTAAATAAATGCTTAATTAGTTAGTTTTAATTTATTTATTTTTTTATTTTTTTGAAAAATGATCCAGATATCTTATTTGTTTAACCAGATAACGTGTGTTCAGCAAAATTTATTTTAATTAGATCATAACCATAACTTTAAACTATCTGGCTATCAATACAGGGTGATATAAGTTATAATATTATTTTGTTGATCGAATAAGTTGTAAACATATAAGACTAAACCAAAAGTTGCTTTAAAAAAAAGAGAGAAGAAACCAAGCTTGATAGAAAGCAGGAGGCCTCTGCATTTGCTAACTTGAGCAGCTAGGCCTTGCGTGTCTTCTTAAGTGCGTAACATGTATGGTCTCTGAAAGATCTGGTATTTTGACTGTTAATGCCCCAGATTGTTCAACTTCTCCTGTAAAATTCGAGCCAGCAATCATTATTTCCTGAAATTTATTGATTGTCTGCAAAAGAAAAAGACTTACATTTTGTAAGGCATCAAGCTTTCTCTACATAACTTCATGCTCAGCACGAAGCCAGAAAGGAACACCGTCCTTTTGATATACATTTTTCTGAGCAAAGTCTTGATCAATATCGTTAACTGTGGTTGCAAACGGATTATTGGCTGGGATCCATTTGACTGTAACATGATCAACATCACGTACTTACATAACAAATCAAGAAAATAAATTAATTTTGTTAATGAGAAGAGGGAAACTAAAAGTGGGAAGACACAGCTTTTGTTGAGACGAACTGGCATACCTTGCTTCCTTAGAAATGGTTCCAGCTCATGTGTGAACTGATCTGGAAGACCTCCCTTCAGTTCAACATGGTCAATCAATTGTACCAAAACAGTGTTGATCAGTAATGAAGATTAACACAGGCAAGCTTGTTTATTTAGCAAGCTGGTAATAGTTTTAGTCACAAACCGTTTGGTGCTTTAAGTCCTTATAAAGTCACAATCTCCAAAACGTCAAATAGCTGCAATGATGACCAGAATAAGCATTTAGAAACAATAACAACAAAGATACGGAAAAGCCAGGAGAGAGATGGTTAAAATTTAAGCATTTCACTGTTGTTTTTACCAAAGCAAGATTGGGAAAACAGAGGTTTTCGAGAGAGAGATGATACCTTCCAACATCTTTCTTTGGCATCCGTAATGAGCAGTTCATTATCATCATGAAGCAGCTGAAATAAAATTCCAAAACATATATGTGAAAACGCAACTGGAGAGAAAAGACCAAGTAATATAAGACAGCTATTATAAGAAGCAGAGTACACAACCTTGGAGGCTTTAAAGATGGAATGATGGATTTCTTTAGAAGCAGAACGACCAAGAGCAAACTGCATCGCTTTGTTCTAGCTGACAAAGAACCTGAACCAATAGGAACCAACATTCAAATCAACGACTGAATGTGACATATTAATCTCACTTACATTCAAGCAGCACCCAGCTGTTCATAATTAAAAAAAAACAAAGAAACAGACCTTCCATTATGTCTAGAGACTCTAGATCGTTGTCTGAACTCCTTGAATATGATATTTCTCATGTTTTTGCAAAAGAGAAAACATGGACAGGGTTATAGTTTTCGACAGTATCTGATTCCAGTAAAAATATTCTCCTTCTGCTCCCTCCCTTCTTTTCTTCTTTGTCTTCCACAAAATAACTGCAATAACAACAACAACAACAAAAACAATACCTTCAGGAACCATTCATCAAGTGATTCGACAATATAAACAAAGGTTTAGGATTTATTCAAAAGGGTTCCACTGAAAGATCTTAGAGTCCTTAAACCATTGAGAGCGTCTACAGAAGAGCACGATGCTTCCAGATCAGTAACAAAGATGTTATAAGTTGAAGAAACAGAACCATGAAAGAGAGGAGGTAGAAATATTTCAGACCTGGTCTGTCTCGTTGTCACTTAGGTATGTCTGCAAGGGTTCAGACGGATGAAGTGGAAGTCAGAAAAAGCAAAGTAAAGGGCTTTTGTATGAAATCGGAAAGTATAAACCCTACATGAAATTGGAAGCTGATAGTAATGTATTTTCTCTCTGGAAATAGCGTGTCAACACACATATGCTCGCTGGCTTTCTTTACATTGCAGGCCTCCCAAAATCTCGAAAAATCACAGAGGAATCGCATGGATGGGAAGCAGAAGAGACGGGGAAGAAGAAATATATTTCCAGACGGACGTAAATAAAACAATCGCTTGATAAGGAAACAAAAAAAATTAAAGCCAACCAGAGGTTGACACGTGTCGGTAAACCCCCATATTAAAAAAATGACTTGGACGATTGTGGGGGCAGATATGTTAACTTTATTATTATAGATATGTATACAGCTATGTGATTTATGTCATATATAATAGCGTACATTTACCTCCAATTCGACACACCAGAAACAAATGTCGACATATACGTGAATGTATGCATATATGTATATAAAAAGAATGGGGAACCCACATATTAGGTGTGTGGCATTACTTTAATAGTGGTATGCATGAATAGTATGATAAGGAAATAGCGTTCATCTTCTATGGACTTGGTCCGAATTCATCACATCAAAAAGCAATGACCATTTCTTTATTTCAATCAACTTTATACCTTCTCCCTATTCCTTATCTACTAACCCCATTTTTGTGCTTGAAAATCTTTATAATAAATAACTGGATTTAACAAAACCAAAAAAAAAAATGGATTTTATCTAGACTCGAGAAGATTTCATGTCCTATAAGGTTTTTACACTTAAATAAAAGGGTAGGATAAATGGAAATATTTGAGAACCTACTAAAACAATTTTAATGCCATGCTTTGTCTGAGTGTGAGAAGCCCTGCTGAGAGGTCTTTTTCTTCGAAATATTTGTTGACAGGTTTTCGGTGAATGTGATCTAAAGCTAGCTAACTTGTGATGGGCCTTGTAAGACACATGCATTCAAAGAGCATGGCGATCACGTGGCAGCCTCTCTTCCGCCGTCTCGGTATCAGCCAATCACAATACACTCAGCCAATAGAGAGCATGGCCATCAGAAGAAGCAGGATCGATCTCAATAACAAAATTCAGAAAACCTCTTGCGTCATAAATTCATGTGAACAGTGTCTCGTAGCCAAATACCTGAGTTATATTATTAATCTGTATATCTAGTGCACCATTTTATTCAGATGCATAATGCTTTCATCTTTGAACTTGGCTTCTAAGATAACGTGTATACGAGTTATTTTCTAGAATATGCACTTATGCGGCCGTATTAGTTACGTCTTGGCGCTGGCGTTAGATGATGACTAATGCCATAATTTTTATATTATTATATGGTTTAGGCGGTTACGGCACAAATGGTTTTGTCACTAGTAAAACGAACCTCAAGTTTCGATTACAAATCTTGTTACAAAAAAAAAAAAAAAATGGAAGGGAATATCAACTACACAATTATATCACCTTTCATTGTGTTACAAAGGCACAACCACTCCCACGTGATATACCTTTCATTGTGTTACAAAGGCACTTATCCTCTTTATAAGTGAATGACATTTTCCAATCGAAATCCACTAGTATACAGAATGTAATTAAATATTGAGTTTTTAATTTGTTTATGTATATCCTAAGTTATTGTGTGACTATATTTATAGTAATTTTATAATTTCTCTAGGTATCACAAAATCTCAATTATCTACAATGATATAAAACTTCCAGATTTGTACACGGCCCTACTTATCTGATGCGATGAATTTGGACTAAGTACAAAAACAGATTACTTCTTCTTTTGTTTGGTTATAAATAACCTTTCCTCTTCTAACCTCACCTTTACTCTGTTTTCTCTACCACTCCAAAGTAGAAGAAGATGATGATGAACGGAGAAGCTACTACAGAAGCTGATCTTTTCCTCAACTGTACCGACATGTCTGTCTTAGAGCGGCAAAGGGCTCACCTCAACAACTACAATCACCACCATCCTGGCTTCTTCTCCAATTCTTCCACGATTAACTGCGGCGAGATGGACGGCTTTTTAGCGTCGGCTGGTTTGGATCTTCCGGCGATTTACGGGGATACGACGGTGTACAGTGACGCGAGACTCTCAGCTTCTCAGGGGAATATAACGACTGAGTCTGGAAATTTCAAGAAAAGGAAGTTTGGTTGCGTCGAGACAGAGACTAAGGTTCGTGTGTTGCTCTGTTCTTTAGTTAAAAATAAAAAAAATAAAACTTTGAATTGTATAAATGAAAAAAAAGACAGATCTTATTTGAGATTGACTTATCTGTTAATGGGTTTTTTTTAGGTTTGTAATGAGAAGAAGAAGATGATGATGTATAGAGAAGTAGTAGTTGATGAAGAAGAAGAGGAGAAGTCGAAAATAACAGAGCAGAGCACTAAAAACATTATGAAGATGAAGATGAAGAATAAAGCCAAGAAAGAGCAGAACAGTTGCTCTAACGATTCATCAAAAGTGACGAAAGACTCGCAGAAAACGGATTATATTCATGTTCGTGCACGGAGAGGTCAAGCCACTGATAGCCACAGCATTGCAGAACGAGTGAGTGAGAGAGAGACTTCTTTATTTAGTTTCAGTTCATATTTTTAAACCATTGGGACTAACTGATTTAATGTTAAAACTGTGAAGGCTAGAAGAGAAAAGATCAGTGAGAGAATGAAGTTTCTACAAGATTTAGTTCCTGGATGCGACAAGATTACTGGCAAAGCAGGGATGCTTGATGAGATCATTAACTATGTTCAGTCTCTACAGAGACAAGTCGAGGTTTGAATTTCATTTCCAATATCTTATAAGTGTAGATTCTTTAATGTGTAATCTACTAATATATGGTTAATGTTTGGAACAGTTCTTATCTATGAAGCTAGCAACAGTTAGTCCAAGGCTGGATTTCAACATTGATGACCTTTTTACTAAAGAGGTTAGTTTTTTTTTATTTGTTTGTATTTATGTAAAAGCTTTAATTTATAAACTTAGATGAGCTAATCATATAAATTGAAACCCAGGCTGTCTCAGATCCAATGATGAACTTACCAAACACTGTGATGCCACCACATATGATGGTGAATTCCGGTTATCCTCATGATCTGGTTAATTCCGGTTATGTTGATTTCAATCCAATGCAGCAAGTGGTTACTAGTTCTGATCCACTGCCATGTTTCAACGTAGGTTATGTTTTCATTTCTCTTCCATTATGAAGCTATCATATAACTTTTGGTTTACTAATACTCTTTAGATATGTTTTGATTATGTTACAGAATGGTCAAGCTTCTTCTATGTGGGACTCTGATGTGCAGAATCTTTATAGCAGTCTAGGAGTTTGACTAAGAACGGTCCGCAAATTCAAAACCGTTCCTTAGTTCTAGACCATTGTCAGGTATACTATTTACTAGCAATGATTACATGACATAGTTTGTGGATTTATTGTTTAGGACAAGTTCAAGTACCCCCACTTTATTCAAAATTTAGAGATATATAAGGTTTGATTATGATGATGCAGGTTCTATGGATACATGCAGCTTATTTTTTCAAGTGGGAAGATCAAACTCATATTATTTTCATCAGAAGAGAGAGCAAATTAGCAGTTATTTACTAATTTCAGTAAATTAACTTAAGATTCTCCGCCAATCATTGTAGTATCAGTGACAGAGTGTATACTGTATTGTGTGTATATATATGCCAAACAATAATATATATTTTTTCTTATCATATAGTCTCTTCAATGTGTTTCTTGTCTGCCTAGATCATCATGAGTGGGTCTCACTAATCATGCTCTAATGGGGTTCATACATAGGAATTTTCAGTCCATGACTACTAACTCAACAAAAGAAAAGCAAAAAAAAAGGTGAGGAGTAACAAAGTAAAAGAAAGAATGGCTTAGGTTGAATCTTTCTCCAAAGGTTGTTGTGATAAAACTTTTCCAACACCTTGATGAAGGTGTTCAAACAATTAGAGCTGCATGCATGATGGTAATCAGTTACCGGCCACACCAAACCATTAGTAGTATCAGAGACAGTATAGATGCAAAACAGTAATAGAAATTTTCTTATCAGTCTTTCAATGTGTGTTCTCCTATTTTCTTATTAGAGCATTATGAATGAGTCTCACTAATCATTATGCTCTAATGGGGTTCATACATATGACTTTTTATGATACACTGTCACAATCAACCACTCAACAGAAGAAAGAAGAAAAAGTAAAGGAAGAAAGAGTGGTCTATGTTTAAATCTTTTTCCAAAGTTGTTTGATACATAATTTCTCAACAACTCCTCCAAAAGCTTGATCTAAGGTGTTTTTTTTTTCATCTAAATTTCAAAAGGTTTGGAGTCGAAGCACATAATCCTCTAAACTGGAAACCTGTTCAAATTGTCACTCTAACCTTTGGTTTAATGAAGGTGTTCGTTCAAACAACTAGAAGAATGTGTGATGATAATCAATTACAGACTAAAAAATATCCATAACATATTCATATTGTAAGGCAGTCTGAATTATTTGTTGGAAATATATGTTGTTAAACTGATCTGTATGTACAATTTAGACATATTGAGTTTAGTTTTCAGTAAAAAGTCAACGTCTTTGATAGTTCAAGTACCGTTTTAAGTGTAAGAGAACTGAGTTAAACTAAACCTTTTACATAATCATCTAACAACAAATTGTACGGGGAACATGGGGGAGACGAAGAGCAGAGTTTTGGTCATAGGAGCAACAGGAAGATTAGGTCACTACTTGACCCGTTTCAGCATCCAATCGGGTCACCCGACTTTCGCTCTCATCAGAGGCTCTACATTCTCCGATCCTTCCAAGTCCCTTAAGCTCGAATCTCTCTCCTCCACAGGCGTCACTCTCCTCAAAGTCTCTTCCTTTCTCCATTAATCTCTCTCATTAAATCCAAAGTTTCGCTTTTTATTTATTTTCCTGTTGATTTGGTTATTGGGCTTAGGGTTCATTGGAGGATGAAGCAAGCTTAGAAGAAGCAGTGACCAAAGTAGATGTGGTCATCTCTGCTATTCCTTCAAAACATGGTCTTGACCAGAAACTCCTCATCAATGTCATGAAACGAGCTGGATCCATTAAGGTTCTTGAAATTGTATTTGGCTTGCATGATGAGAGGATAGAGACCGAACTTAGTTACTTAGAACATGACATTGTTTGTTTGCAGAGGTTTATACCTGCTGAGTATGGAGCAGATCCAGACAAAACACAAGTCTCTGGTATTGATCACGGCTTCTACTCAAAGAAGTCTGAGATAAGACGTTTTATAGAATCATCAGGGATTCCTTACACATACATTTGTTGTGGACTGTTCATGAGGATTCTACTTCCATCTCTTGTCCAACCTGGTTTTCAATCTCCTCCAATGGATAATGTCACTGTCTTTGGAGATGGAAACGTTAAAGGTTTCTTCCTTTTTTCCTTTAATTACAAGTCTATGTACATACACAGTCTTATGTTTAGTGTGTGTATTGTGTAGCTGTTTTTGTGAATGAGGTTGATGCTGCAGCGTTTACTATAAAAACGATTGATGATCCTAGAACACTGAACAAGACGTTGTACCTTAGGCCGCATGGAAATGTATGTTCTATGAATGATCTTGTTGAGCTATGGGAAGGGAAGATTGAGAAGAAGCTTGTGAAAAATTTTGTTACTGAAAGTCAACTTCTTGAGAAGATCAAAGGTTTTGTCAACACACTCTACATTTAAGATTTTTTTTTTTGTTTTCTTTAACTCTCAGGTCTTTCTGTTTCTATGATGCAGAGACTCCATACCCGGATGACATGGATATGGTCTTCATATACTCTGTTTTTATCAAAGGAGATCACACGTACTTTGACATTGATGAGTCTTGTGGTGGAGTGAATGGTACTGAGCTTTACCCTGATGTCAAATACATGACCGTGAGCGAGTTTCTTGATACTCTTCTCTAGAGTTATAACCAAATAGAAGGGACACATTTTGTCACATTGCTTCTAAAGTTCTGATAATGATTGAAAAAAATTGTTGGACAAAAAAATTGTGGAAACATTTTGGGATTGTTGTTAGTCAGTAAGAAGCATTTCTACAGTAGGTTTTACCTTTAAATCCAAAAATATGCAAGTAATTTCAAACATTTTAACTTGTTTGCATGTGGCTTCGTGTGCTCGTTTCATTTGTAAGCTAACTGAATCCAATGCGTCTCACTAGAACCATATACTGCAGAACCAAATAAAAGCTACTTAAGCAAGGACCATGCGCATATGACTTCTTTTCTTTACGAGGGATCATGCATACGATTTCACTTTTTCATTTTAAAAAAATTGTGGTAAAAAAAGGTTTCATAAACGCCTACAATCTCAAAAAGGGAGATACATTTCTTGGATGATACAAAGTCTAGAAAACAAATGGATAATCTAAAGAAATTGGAGAGTTTCATCAAATTAGCTAGCCACCATACGGATTTTAAGCTTCTTTTTATAAAAAAAAATCATGTCCATAACGGAAAGTTTAATTAGTTGAGTCAAGAACTCTAATAAAGAGAAATTTTTGACAATGGTTTCACAATGTGTGGGTCTTTCATGTTAAAGAAAAGCAAAGTTAAAAGTTCAAAAATTATTAAAGAGAGACGAAAAGGGTATAATAATGTTGAGTATGTCTTAGTGAAGAAGGAAATCAGTCTCATTAAGTGATCCATATTTCCAAATGGACTTTCTGCTAGAAGATAATCTATAAATAATGTATCTATTGGCATAAAATCTGCATAATTTGTGGAATGTATATTCTAATGCTTTCTTATATTTTCTGGATATTTAAATATTTTTGTTTGTCAACGAATAAATTGTGATGTACTTTTTTTTTTCTTAACCCTTGTCTATAGTATGAAAGAGTTGCATTTGAAACTTAAAATTTATTTCATTTTAATGGAGTAAATATTTCTTAAGAGTTTCAAACAAGTACAATAATAATGCTTAAAATAGTTTATAGGTAGGATTTTTTTTTTGAACCACTTATTATTTTTTATTTATGTTATTATTTTTAAATAAGAGTTAAAAATCATTAGACTAGCAATTCAAGTTGTATAGTTTTATTGTCAATTTAAACTAAACATTACAATAATTAAAAATTTGACATTTTTTGTTCTGTTTTGTAGAGTTATAATCTGAAAGACCATTAAACATTCAAACCATAATGGCCTTTCAGCCTGAATTCTCTTTTTTTTTCTTATTCTCTTTTCTCCAAAGAATATCAAAATGAATAAACAAAAAAAGGTAATCACTGTTAATCTCCTTTTCTTATCGACCCAAACGTTTCTTTCGACAACTCCTATTCATATTCAAGAAAAGTAAAGTTTCTCAATTTGGAGAATTAACCGAAAGTAACCTCTATATAGTTTTCGTTAAAGGGCTTTTGTTAAAGGACATGGATATTGAGTCTAGAGTCTCACGTGTACGTAATGTAACATTCAAAGATTTTCCAATATTATCTGTAGACATGTGGATTTCTATGTAGTGGAAAAAACTTATTTTAGTTTTGGTGTTCGCTTCAACAAACATATTTTTAGATTTTGGGAAAAAAAATCTAGTTGTTGCTGGGATACGCACCTCCAACTACTGTGATTGACAAATAAAGATATGAAAGGTGGTGCATACGACGAAGTCAAGAAAGTAGGATGACTATTCCATGGGTTGGTAAACTTAAGGGGATTAGGATTATCTTAGAGTTTGAAGCTTAATTACAATCTTGTGTTATCCATTATTAGAGGAAAGAAACCTACCAGTCATACGTAACATCACAAATTTGTATGACATTTTGTATGGAAACATATCAGAATTATTTCTACATATTCATTTTAAGTACTTTAAACTTACAAAACAAAACAAAAAATCTTCACATCCCAAATTAATTATAATTTACATTAAATCTCTGAAGAAAATAGAATAAATGATGAAAACAAAGAAGAGAATATGAAGAAGATGTGATTGGTCTGGTCTCATGAGCGATGAACAATAGCAAGGACAGCTTTTGGGAGCACTAAGAATAATGTTGTGGATTAAGTGAAAAAAACACTACTATGCTGTTCACAATTGAAGCTATAAAAATAAAACTAGTCCAATTTATTTATATTTTCCAAATAAATAAATAAACTATTGCAGTACTAGCATTTTCTACATAGTCTATAAATAAGGAATGTTGAATGAAACCAACTCTACACCAACAAGCTACAACAAACACCAAGAAGAAACAAAACCTATAGCAAAAAAACAGAGATTTTCACACAGATAATCCTCTGTTTTTTTTATGAAACATAACAGCAAGGACTGGTCTTTGTTCACCATGACTATTGATCTTCTTCCTCTGTCTCGTTTCTTGGTAGCAAAACTCTCAGGCTCTCGCTTCTTTTCCGAAAAACTCACTTCTTTGGTGTGATCTAAGATCAGTAAGTCCCATACATACAATCACTTGAAAACTTTTCTTTCTTTTTTCTTCTTGTTTTGTCCTCTGTTGAAGAGAATAATCTCAATGGATTCAATCAAGTTTCAACACTTAAAGATGGAGAAACCTAGAGGAATCTTGAACTTGTCAGCTATAAAGTCTTTCACGAACATATTCAGACTAATCGAACTGATTCTTGTACTAATCTTGATCTCCAAACTCTCTTTCCCATCACTGAAAATCTCCTGTGACAGTTTCAAGGAAGCAACAGTGTTTCTCGTTAGCCCTAGCTTCGTTTTCTTCGTCGGAAACGCTATTGTAGTTATTCTTTTTGCGAAATCCAAACGATACAGCTCCACTCATGAGACAACAGAAGCCACGAGCAACGATCTTTACCAAGAACTTCTTTACAAGACTGAGAAGAAGACATCTGAAGTTCATAAGACCAAAACAGAACAGTCCAAGAAGCTGAGTGGAGTGAAAAGGGTTAGTTTCGAGAGAAGCCAATCGCAGAAAGCGTTTGAGGCGGTTCACCTGCATGGTGGGAAAATCATGAGGAGGTATGATTCAGAGAAGCATTTGAAGATTTGTGATTCGGACAAGAAAGTAGTGGTGAGAGCAAAGAAACCAGAAGATAAGATGAGTAACGAACAGTTTAGGACGAAGATTGAAGCGTTCATCGCGAGGCAAAAGAGGATTCAAAAGGATGAAGAACACTTGACATTCTAGATCCTCTTTGCTAGTGAATAGTGAATGTTTGTTTCTGTTTTTTTTTTCTTTCTCTTTTATAAAACTTGAATTTCCTAATCTTGTAACTCTCTGCCTTTCTTTATCTTACCTTTTGTAAACTGTTTAAGTAAATAGTAAAAAATGTATTGGATGTTAAATTTGCTTTGTAAACGTCAATGATCCACTTAGTCAACTTTTTTTTGTAACACAAACTTTCATTTAAAACTTTTAAGTTCATACAAAAAAAAAACGCTAAAGAGACGAAATAACACAGTATAATTAATTAACTAAGAGGAGTTGGGGATCTATTTAGTCAATTAATTACCGTCAATGCCCATATCCATGCGACAAGTTAGCATCTTTTTTGTATGAACTAGCTAATACCGTTTATAACGCTCGCTATATTTATTTATCTGCCTGCGTGTAACATCTAAAAACAAAGAAAAACATGCATGTCAACTTGTTTTTTAGAAATTTGTTAAAATTATTTTCCATATGTTCCATTTTTCCTTTTGGGAGTTCTTAATTAGAATTTCAGACGTTCTTACCTCTAACGTATTAGGGACGTAGTGCAAACGTGTAATAATTTTATTTTATGAGAATATGGTGGAGTGCATGCAATTCTTCTTAAATAGTGTATTTAACAATTTTAGCAAAACATAAGTTAAAAAAAAACAATTTTAGCAAAATATAAGTTAAAAAAAACAATTTATAGCAAAATATAAATTAAAAAAAAAAACAATTTTAGCAAAAATACTAATAATAACGTTATTTAACATTTAAATATGGTGAATCCATTTTGACCAATATATATATATATATTTTTTATCACATGCTATAGCGTTTGATGTGATATAACGAACGTGGTTAGTTACACTAGTAGGTTCGTATTCTGGAGAGAACATATATGTAAAGTAAACAAAAGCATCTAAACTATGTCTCCTTACTTGTCAAAGAAATATAAACTGTGTTTCCAAATGCTGGATAGCATTATCCAAGCATGCATGTCGGTAAGAACATTGACAGACTTAAAATAAGTTTCAATTTCTCAAAAAAACATTGGTAAGTCTCTACGTTGTATTTACTCTGCTAGTAATATACTAATATATAAAATTTAGCACTAATCGTTTTAGTTAGAATGTAAGATTAATAGTAGAATTTTAAAATATAATTGATTTTGAGTATCTACGTCGGAAAGTATCTGGAAAGGTGAAAAGAGACAAGATATGCTCGATCGGATGAGAAAAAGTTTGATTCAAATCTGTAGAATCTAATGCGAGTGACGAATACACGTGAGATTGACAAGAACCTGTAACGAACAAAATCATATAATACTAATTTCTATACGTATTACTAACATGTGATTAGTTGATTACTGGAAAAATTAGTTACGAATACTTTAATTCTTATAGAAAAGCAGACCATAAAGTTTGAGTCATCTTTATTTGTCGTTTATTCTATACAAACTTTCGGAGTATAACGCCATTGTCTCCTAGAGTATGTAGTTAACTTGAATTTTGGTCACCATATAAACTTCTACTGACACAGAAAAGTATCCAACAAAAGCACGAGATATATGCATAGGTAGATCATACAGGACATGACAGAATAGAGGAAGCAGAGTTTGTGCTATATAACGTATTGTCTATTTAGAATCTATCCTTTAGCATAAAATCCTTTATTATTATCAACCGAATCAACTATTAGTTCCTCTCACTGGAATTTTCTAGATATTTTTTGTTGAAAAAATAAAATGCCATTTGGATATTAGATAGAAAATTATCTTAAACTAAATGAAAACCGATTAAAATCTCACACGTTTGAATCAAAAGAACGTCACACACAAAGACAAAACTTTAAGTTTTGGTTAAATAGAAAAAAAAAACATTCTTTGTGAGAACCCTGTTTTACGAGGGAGACTAAACAGCCATTTTCATATCTATTTTCTTGTGAGGATCATAGCCAATGAGCTCAAAATCAGCAGCCACAAAAGAATCAATGTGTTTCTTCTCTGGATTTATCTTCAGAACCTGTATACAGACCAAACATAAATAAGAATATAGTCTCAACCAACTTAATAATCAACAGTCTCATATGTCTTTATATACTCACAGGAAACGGTTTTGGTGGGTTCTCAAGTTGCTCTTGCAGAGGCCTAACATGGTTTTTGTAAACATGAGCATCTCCAATCACATGTATAAAATCACCAGGAACAAGATCTGCATAATAATCAACACAAACATCAAAATACATGGCAGATTCCAAATCAGAGCTTGCTTCATTTCTGTAGTGAAAAGTTTGAAACATTACCACAAACATGAGCGAGGATGCATGTAAGAAGGGAGTAAGAAGCAATGTTAAACGGCACACCAAGACCCATATCAGCTGAACGCTGATACATTTGACAGGAAAGCTCTCCATTTGCTACGTAAAACTGAGCAAACATGTGGCATGGTGGAAGTGCCATCAGTTTAAGGTCAGAAGGATTCCAAGCCGACATTATAATCCGCCGATCATCAGGATTGTTCTTGATCTTGTTAATAACATCTAAGAGTTGATCAAATCCTTGGCCAGTATAATCAGCATGCATGTCTGTGTACCTGTAGAAAAGAGGTTAGCGGCTAAACATAGAAACCAGGAAATAGTAACATAGAAGCTACTGACTTGGCACCAAAGTGTCTCCATTGAAATCCATAAACGGGTCCCAAGTCACCTTCTTCTCTCTCAGTTAGTCCAATACTGAAATCAAATGTTTGTTTATCAGTGTGATGGGCCACTAAAAATTTTAACGTTTTCAAAGAAGAATATAGATTAAGGTTTTACCCATCAAGATACTCTCTTGACGCATTCCCATCCCAAATATGGATACCCTTTTCTTGAAGTAGCTGCCAATTACACAAACTTGTCAGAAAACAATTATAGTTCATTTGCTTAAGGCATGAAAAACATGATAAAAAGATATTTTTCTCTTACCTTTGCATTGGTTGAACCGCTTATGAACCATAGAAGTTCTTCAACAACACCTCTCCAGAAAACTCTCTGCAAATGAAAGGCAAACATATCTTGTAAGCAAACTCTGTTGGGGACTTAAACATGAAAAGTAAATGTGCAGTTAATCATACCTTTGTAGTCAGAAGTGGAAAGCTTCTGCGCAAATTGAACGTCATCTGTGGATTAAAAATACGCTAGCGATTAGTTAACCTTAATAGGCTAACCAGAACAAGACATTCAGATACATATCAAGAGGTGTTGCTACAGCACCTGGCAGCCAAATTTAGATAATGTACCGGTCCCTGTCCTATCGTTCTTTAAGTTCCCATTTGAGATGATCTCACTGACCATATTCAAGTAGAGAAACTCCTCATGCCGCTCAAAAATCTTTTTAGGAAGAATAGAAGAAAACTTTTTCCAATCAACTTGAATGGCCTTTGACTCATCACTCTCATCAGAGCTCTTCACACGAACATAAGTGGTGAAGGAAAACCGAAGTCCATTTTCACACGTTGGAAGAGACGAACACCAAGGCTGATATGCAGAAGTGTCAATGGCAGGAATAAATGTATCACAGTCAATACTTGTATCAATCTCAGTTAAGTGGATAGCTTCGCATCTCGGCCCATTCAACGAGTCCCTACATTACAAAAACCCGTCACAAGAGAGAAGTCACGCCAAAGGAAAAAGAGTCTTGAGTAAAAGAAACACACCTCAATACTTCACCACCTCCTATTACAAACACCTTCTCAATAGACAAACGATACGGAGGTGCAGCTAATAAATCTAGCGCGGAATCGATGCTCCTGCACGTTACAACATTCTCTGTGTTGGCTATGTCGAAGCCGCTTGAACGAGTTAAGACAACGTTGAGGCGACCAGAGAGTGGCCTATACTTTGTGGGAATAGACTCCCACGTTTTCCTACCCATCACAACAGCGTTCTTCTTGGTGGAATCAGAAGTGGTCAGTGTTAAGTCCTTGAAGAATTTGAGATCAGTAGGCAAAGTCCAGGGAAGTTTTCCGTCTTTACCGATGCCCATCTCCTTGGTTGCAGCGACGACAACTTGGAAATCTCTCTGAGGCTCTGAAGCCAAGGTCACATGGCCATTGAGATTGGATGCCATGGTTGAAAACGAAACCTTGAAGAAGTTTGGCAATGAGGAGGGCTTGGGAGATGAATTACAGAGCCACCTTTGAGACAATGGTAGCAAAGCCTGAGAAATGAACACAAAGGGAAAGTGAGAAGATCAACAAGATATGCAATTGCAATAGATAGCTTTAGATATCACGAGTCAACATTAAAGACTAAGCTACAGAAAAACCACAAGATCACATCTTTCAAGAAAACTACTTCATTCGAAAGGGGACAATGTACACTTTCACCTCTATAACAAACGCGTGACAAGAGTAAGTGTAAACATGCGCAAATAACACAAACAGTCACCACTAACCGATTTAA